AAACAGGTTCCCTTCACTAGATGCGTTCTGTGTCTGGCGGCTAGGTCAGTCATAATTACGGGCCTCGTGCGCGTGCTGGAGAGGTGACGAGATTCAACCTAGTCCTAGTCTTAGCCAACGGCGTCAGGCTTCATTTTCATAACTGAATGTCGGTTTGGGCAAGCGGATCTCTTTGTTGACGTAGAAACTTCAACTATTTCGTGCACTTTACAAATGGGAAGCACCTTGCCTCGTCAGAGTGAAATTTTTATATATTCCTCTCGAGTTCCAGGAATGACCTAAAGTACTGGTTGAACTAAATGGCTGCTTTTTAGCGTCCTCTAGCTGTTCTCCACGCTGATGCGCAAGCCCTGTCGTAGCGGAGCTTACGATGATGGAGTTCACAGTAGAGGTTCGTCCATAAAGCTTTAGTTTTGGTGATTTGATTGTAAATTGGTTAAGGAGCTTTTAGCGACGTCCTTTCCAGGACACTGTAAGTTCTCCCTTTTGTCTTTAATGTTCTACTTTTCACTCGTTTCAGGGACCTTCCAAAAAGTCGATCATGTGCCTTCGGTATTATCTAGCCAGGAGAAAGTATGCTTTCTAAAAAGTAAGTTAATCAATGTACCAATTACGGTAACAACTGCAGTACTTTCACGGTTATACTTTTGTTCTTGCGATAGCAAGTACAGTATTCATTTTAGAATGTTGTGCATCACCAATACTTCGTTTTATTCTGCATTTACTGTCGGATCGACGCCAAGAGACCTTGTGTTCATGGTATGGTGGACCGTTTGGGGTGAAGATATGGAACACACGAAAATTCACCGAATCTTACAATGCTGCCATGGGAACAAAGGTGAGCTCTTTTGTGAGTTTCAACTATGACATCTGACACGCGCGCGGTCGCGAAGCGGGTTCCGTAGAGAGATTCATGATGCCGCCGCTGCTGCAGGCGGGGCATTTGGGCGAATTTCGCCGTAGTTCGTCTTGCTAGTGTGATATTAGTTTAGGTTACGCGCTTGGGAACCACGTAAGCTCCTAAGGAGGCTGCAAATGGTACAGGCAAGCCACCTTGTTGAATGAGGCTCACAATTATCACCATACTTAGCCTGAACACGCTTCGCTAAGTACCAATTGCGTGGCCCGGCCATTTAGGGCAGATTATGGCTGAACCCGTCTTCATGAAGCACACTTAGCACTATAGTTCTTACTATCGAAGAATTTTAATCGGCGCCTTTTCAGATGAATTTCACGAACATATCAAGAGCACTACAAGCTTGTGAGCATATCACTATGGCTGCCGTTCGACTGTGGAAACGACTGAAGCAGGGCGAATACTCGTTTTTCCCGGGTTATACCGGTCATGGGTAAGTTTTCCAGGGTTTAGACAACTTCTTTTCTAGCTCTTCGCCTATAATTCTCATTCTTTTCAGGCTTCCACAAATACCTCTTTCGGCTATGCCTCGTGACGTCCCGGACCAATTCCCGTTTGAGAGGAAGGGGATCGTGAAAAGTTCGTGTTCAGGCGGCGAATACGGTAATATCTTAGGCATCTTGTGCTATAACGAAATCCTGAATTCTTCTGTAAATTGTTGTTATTTCAGAACAACCTATCGCCAGCAACCACTACGGTCAAATATCCTACCGTACCCCTCCCTCTTCTGAGAGTCGAAGTCACCACACTCGCTTTCAACCATACCTGCCTCTTTGCTCAGCCATGCCATCGCCGCAACTTCTAAGTCCTGCTCCTTCAGTATCTCCACAATCGTACAGCAGTCCTGAAACGATTCCTGGATTCTCAACCCTGTCACCGGGATATGTTTCGCTCCCGTGCTCCATCCTCACTCCTCCACCATCGGAAAATTCATCCTCATTCTCTGAATCACTGAACTCTAGTGATTCCTGCTTATCACAACCGTACAGTCCAGTGTATGTCGAGCCGTCCTACGACTCCTACGCCGAAGATGCGCCTACAGTCGAGGAACAGGCTCCAGAAGAAACTCCGGAGTTGAACAAGGAAGCTGTGCAGGTCGGTGTTTCCAGTCAGGAACAATATTAATGGCGATTGAATTCACAGTAAAATTTTCTCCTATGATTTCAGCACCAGCTCGATCCTTCCGTATTGGCTGAGTTTCTCACTCCTTTGGAAGGACTTCAAACGTGTTTCCAGCCCTCAGCCATACCTCCTGCTCCATTCCAAGCCCAAGCCACTCCTCCTGCTCCAACGGCACCATGGGTTATGGAGCCTGACTCAGGTCCATGCGCGACATACCTGAAGCACCACAGTGATCTAGTAGAGCAGGTAATTCTGAGTATAATTCTGTCAACGAACATAGTATACTTGCGTTCAATTTCAGGACATATTTGGCAATACCTCCTCAGTATCCGGTTATGATCTATCAATCGACGAGACGAGCCTTCTCTATCATTGATTTTTTTTTCTGTTTTTTCTTTTTTATTTTCTCGCATTTGCTCTGCTGCTTTATTATACTCCCGTGTTTTCATGGTACCTGTGCTCTTATTCGGTGTACATATTTATTAATTAATTCTGTATTTATATGATTAGGTGTTAGTTGATAGGTTATGAAATAAACATATAAAATTAAATTTCGCTGAAGCGGGTTCATTTCACTGAGCTGTAGGCAGGGAAGGGTTCCAACGGATAACTGATTAGTGATGAAAATTACGGTTTACGGGTAGTAGGTGCTCGACCATGAACCAGCAGCCCATTGGAGGAAAAAGCGAAAAAACCTCGGGAACACTCTGAACAGAGACCCCCTTTTGCAGTAGGGCGGCGCCTTCGAGGAGCTTGTCGGCAAGCCAACAGCAGGTTTCAAAGTGCAACCGATTATCGGCAAGAGCACAGGAAATCACCCTACGACGCTCCAGGCAACGCTATATACACATTCCGCTTGTAAGCCGTTGTCTTGCAGAGTGAAAGTAATCGTGGTTGCAATGGTTGCAATAATCACGCGTCTCTAGCTTCTTTATCTCGCCGTTTCGAGTGACGAAAGTGGTATATTCTCTGCGAATGCGGACAACGATGCCAAATGCATGGATGCATTTCGCAGACCACTTGATCGCGGGAACTGTCTTAAGGCATTATTTGCCCTCTACTGACCATGCCAGTAAAGGGGAAATAGTGCAATGCTACTCATGAATCGTGCCAGGTTCTGATCGAATTCCCCTCCGGAGTAGGTCCGGCTCAGGTTTGGTCACCCGAACAGACTGATCGTTTAGACACGAATATCACAGCTTTTGAGGAAAATGCGATAAGTTTGGCACGGGCGCATTACTCGACTTTTTGAGCCAAACGGTGCAATTTTCGCATTCAGATGCTCAAACAAGGGCAAGAGTTGGCAGTTTCGCATATTTGAATCTACGGGGGGGGGAGGGGGGTGGGAGCAGAAAAGTCACTTTCCTTCATGACCTTCGAGGCGCTTATATAAGACACTTTAGTAAATTCTGATCGGACAACCATAATCGACAGCATATTAAATGCTATCGTGACACTCTGCCACAGCCTTCTGAAGGAGCGCAGTCGAGAGATTCTGCTACGCCGTGATTCGGTACCTGGCTTCAGCGAGACAGACAGCGATTTCTCGGCCACTGCAGACCACCTTGTTTGAGCTCCGCCCGAAGCTCGGTAATTGAGAGAGTTTAGGTCAGGGGACATACACTCAATATTCCATCTTCTTCAGGTACTCAACGCCCTTCCATTCCAAGTAGGCGAGAGTTTCTCCAACGCCCTTCGAGGTGGCACCCAATGCTGTAGCAGTACAAAGTTTCCAAGAAGGTACGGGCGACGACATGTGGGGAGGATATTTTCTCACAGATGTAACGCCAGCGCTCACCTTCAGTCCGGGTCCACGAAGAAAATATCGGTCTTCCCTTTCAGGTACGTCCGGTCCATACCATCAACTCGCGCCTTGGCGACTGCGGTGAAGATGATGTCCTAGACGTAATGTTTGTCGGAGCTGCTCGATGTTGGAGGTCTTCCAGATCGAGAGTACTGTCTCCAGGTAGCTATCCATGGGTGACTCCATACTAGAAGTTTCGCAGCTGTTTAGGTGACATGAATTCCGAAGGTCTTCTCCAGTCAGGTTGCGACTGGAGATGACTTCATATTTTTTGGTGTACTTGGGAAAAAAAAGAAGATATCTTCCGCCCGTGGTACTCGATATGCACGTCTCTCTGTCTGGGCTACGGAAACTTGGGTGGGGGGGGGGGGGGGGGGGGGGGGTCGGGGGCGGGGGGGGGGGGCCGGGGGGGGGGGGGGGCCTCGCCCCCGCCCCCCCTCTCGCGCCCGCCGGGCCCCCTCCCGGGGGGTTTGAGGGTGAGGGGGGGATATGTGACGTTGTCCGAAGTGACTTTTTTTGCCTCACCCCCTGCATTTTGCGCCGGACGGTTGATATTCGCGTTAAGGAGAGTAGCAAATCGAGCTGATTGAGCCGGGAGCGTGCACTAAAAGTATGTATAGCAGGGTGCTGCGTAAGTCACTAACGGTGAGCTGAATATTTCAGCGATCATAGGTCCTTTTTTGCATTTTCCTGTATTTCCAAAATAGTCAGCCGTTCCTGACGCCACTCATCATACTATTCCGAATGCTCGTCTGATTTATGGGGTTCGTGAGCACAACTAGCAGGAAAGGTTGGACAACTGGGAACTAAATGCAATAACTAGAGCCTGAACCTGCTAGCTGCCGGGGATGTCGTCCCTCGACTAATTTCTTCTCGACATCAGCTGTTAGAGAAAAAAAAGCTCATTAGTTGAGACATCAGAACGTCGAATTCAGGAAACGTATTACATTTGCCATCTGCCTGAACCACCCACCGAACAGCACCAATGTAAAAAATGTATAAGCAGAGCTTCGAAGAAAGATTTTTAAGCACGAATGAAACGCTTGGAACACATACATACTTCTCACAGCAAATTTGAACATGAACACGCGTTACTCCAGTGTAGTAGCATGAAATTACTTGAAGTTTCCGCTCTCCGCGACTAGTCGCCAGAAAGAAAAAATAAAAAGATAAACCGCTTTCTTTCATTTTGAACTGAATTCCTTAGTCTATTCATGAGGGCATCGATTGCATGATTAGGCAGTGATTTGAGGGGCTTGATGTGTGTTCTGACTGACTTTTTTTTTCTCAACAATAACACGTCCCAAAAAATAAATTGCCGTATTTCGGCATTTCCATATAAAGAGGGCAATGTGCTAACTGAAAATTGCTATTCAATGCTCCCGATCCCCCTTCTTAGGTGTGCTTCACCAACCGAGATGCCTAAGCCTAGCATATGAATCGTGATTACTGTAGATAGAGTGTGCGTGGGCCACACCTGACTAACTAGGTAACTTGGCAGTTTTTGTAAAAAAATACAATAATTGCCTACACTTGCTTCTTTTACAGTCGCATGTTGAGTTATTGTGAGCAATTTGCGGATTCATTAATGATCTCTAGTAGGGAAAGATCTGAATGCGCAATAGTTCCGTTGGATTTTTTTTTTGAATATATTCTAATCCAGGCAGCTCTTGGTGGATTATTGGTATTACAAATAGCATGGCTATGAGTGAGTCATTAGACACAGACATCTATAATTCTCATGTCGTTTGTAACTATTGGTGAATTTAGTTTTATTTTCCTTTACAGTACGGTGTTTTCAGGTCACGAACTCTATTTGTGAGTGGTTTGCTTAGATGTTATAGGGGGTACATGCACAGACCACAGAAATGAAGTTCATTCGAACTGCTCGCTTCTGCTGGTGTGTTCAAAAATTTTCTCTGCGGTGTGAGCTATATAGGGTGAGCTAATCGGGAACCTCTTGCCCCGCCCGACACCAATGAGAAGATAACGCTGGACACATTGGGTTTCTGTGTATGTCACCTTATGTTATCACACTGAATAGCTGACCTTTATGTCGTCCTGGCTGAAAAGTAGTGGTACCGCAACCTACGTTAATATTCAGTTCGGGTAGTGACGTTGATAAAGAGGGAGGGGGAGGGTCGACCTGGTCATTGTTTGGGGGCGTGGACGGTCATTTATTCACTTCGCCTGCCTTTCGAGGGGATGTGTGTTGACTTTTCATGATTTTCCTGTTTCATGTGGTACTACACCCCCCCCTCCCTGCTCCTCTGCTCGATACAGCGAAAATTTGGGAATAAGTAGGGGAACGTTTGGAAATTATTTATTGGAAAAAGTGGGCGGGATAGTGGGAAAAATATTCTGAAAAGTATGTTAGAAGGGAGGCAGTCTAATTGTCTCGCGGCTGTTTCCTATTCAGCATGTGCTAATTACCTCCGGCCCCCCCACCTCCTGCCCGCCGCTCGGCGCTCGCCTTTGATTGAGGGACAGAGGAGCCTGGAGGTAGGCGATGGGATCGTACCATCCTCCAATAAAGTGGGGTTGTATTGGCAGACTCGGCTAAAATCCCCAACTCTGATTGTGCTTCTGATCTGGAGTGCGAGTTGTTCGACTGGTCTGAGAGGGCGGCGATGGCTTGTAGGGCACAACAATTCGGCAGGTGGAATCCAGCCATGCCGATGCGTCGCGGATCTCGTCAGTTTTCGATGTAAAGCCACACATCTGTACTTCTTCCATCTCGGAATCTTATTGAGCTGCTATATAAACAGAATCATCGTGATATTTGTGCCGGCTTAATCTATGGAACAGAGTCAGTTGGTTCTGTGAATTGTCCGGCCTAGTCTATGAACAAGCCAGTGGTTTCATCTTCTTAGATAAATATGATACCACGGTTTCCACCCCTTTTATTATAGAGGCAGAACACTTATCCGAAGTCTGAGAGCTTTTGAAACTCTAAGCGGGAGCCGATGATCAACACGACGTGCACATTCTATGAGTGCTGCGCTGTTCCGGCACATCATGGTATCTGAACCTTCAGCAGTGAGAAGCTCAAAAAGTTCATTCAAAAAACAAATGACACAGTCTCAAAAGCTAAAGCAACGTGTCACTTCACTTCACTCTTTTCCATGGATTCTGGTCTTTGCCGTGTAGTGAGTGTGGAGAGCAGTAATATCCGACTGTTGTCTGCGTACTCTGCCCGTGCTTACGCCCCGCCAGCCTCACGTCTAACCATAGCCAAACGCATTTTTGTCTGCGCTTTCTCACTCTGTGCTCTCTACCATTGAGTGCCTGTTTCACTGCGAGACTTGGCATCGACGCAAGTGCTGTACCTTGAGAATAGCGCTACCTTTCAGCACCGTACCAGTGCATTTTTGACTAGAGGAAGTGTCACGCTACTGTAGTTACAAACCCATTCAGCTCGTAAATGGGAAATAGACCTCGGAGGTGAATGTGCAGTTTGTCTCAGAAAATTTTTTCGTCAAATTTTGTGTCATTTGGTTTTTTTGGAATCAAATTCTGAGTCATCACACTGTTGCTGAACATACAGTACACTTCATCCCTATCTTTAAACA